AAGGCGAGGTTCAAACTCGAGCACTCTTAAGAACCTGAATCTTGTACATAGAGTCGGTATGAATTGCTCTAACGTAGGATGCTCTCCATAGAGATCAAAGAACAAAGAGAACGCAAGAGCGGATTACTGTTGAAGCCACAAGGTCCCTTTCTCCCAGAATAGATAGCTAGTCGTCGATATGATACCTTGAAGAATGAGCTGAGTTTCTGATTTCGTCATAAATTGAACAAGATTGAGTTCTTTTGCCTTTTGAATGGCTAAATCCCGCAAAGATCATGGACTCGACAGTTTTAAACCATCGCAACCGCATTTCTCCTTTCTGAATAAGGCTCCTGTTAATCAACTCTTCAAGTAATTGAGAGCCACATCTCCATTATTCTTCATCATGCGGTATGTAACCCTCGGCCACCCACAAGCGAATTAGTCTCTCTGTTTTGATTTCAAAGTCTTCTGGAAAATTACTTAATAGAGAAAACACAACTTCAATTGATAGGTAAATCATTGAAGCTTAAAGCCAATAACGTTTTATTCAATGGAATCATTTCTTAAATGCCGCCAAATATCATCACGTACTAAATTCCACTCTGTGGCTTCTTTGTTGACAGTAAACCGCCCAACACAACATGGCAAGTGGTAGACCGCCACATTTTTCTACCTTTTGTCTTCCCAACTTCTCCAATCCTTCATCTATATTTAATTCCAAAAGCCTTCTCACTGAATAGCTGCCAACTCTCCTCTTGGTTTAAAAATCGAAGTTCATGTACATGAGTTCTTTGATCTGAACGTTCAGCAACATCTTTGATGCGAGTGTAATAATTACTCTGCTGCTATTCTTCTGTGTCTGGAAAAGCTCTTTTGAGGCTCCCCCATGCTTCTTTGTGCTACATCATCAATTACCACCAATATGAGCATCCTTGCAAAGACTTATGAAGATACCTCTCCATATCATCTTGACTCATCCTCTAAACTTCTCCGTTGTAATCCGGAATTGAAAGACTTTATAATTCTTCCAAGAAGATCTTGAGTGTTGTATCTTGAGATACAGAAACCCAAGCACAATGACGAAATTTTTGTTTGATTGCACTGTTTGTAAAGTTTTCCAGCAAGAGTGTCTTTCCCCAACACCCAGTGCCCCAAATAAGATCACATATCGCCTTGGCTCATCGTCAAGTTTTAGCCAACAATTTCTCGGTCTCGTTCTTGTACCAACAACATTTCTCTTCAAATGAAAAGGATTTGGTTTTTCTCAGTTCTTTCAATCTGCCAAAACCAGGCGTCTCTCCTTCCCTCCTGTACTGATATTTTCAAGACCATACTCTTGACGTCTTCGAGAGACATCACTGAGTTTCTTTTTTTCGATCAATCTTCTTGCCTATGTTGTACGTATCACCTTCTCCTTGCCCTTGCGAGAAGATTTAGCAACCGATTTCTTGAAGGAATTTGAGAGTCCTCGCTTTTCTTTAGAAGACTCTTCCACTTCGCCTTGACGCATCTGAAGTGACCTCTCCATCATGGACTTTGATCATAAATTCATCTAAGACATCCTCACAATCATAAGCAATATCCTCGATGTCAGATACCCACTGGCGTCAAACGGTTGTCAACTTGTTTCTCTTCAGCATCCTTTATGAAACAATTCATCCATTCCAGATCTCTTTTCAGTGACTCCACTTCACTTCTTATGCCTCGGAAGAAGGCTGCTTCTTGGATTAGATAGTCTCTAAGCTTTTAACCACAAATGAGACTACTGCATCCACCATGGTTCCCAAGCTACTGTTGTTCTTTTTTTTTTCAATAAAGATCTCTCCCTTTGGAAATGGTAGGTTTAAGAGAAGAGAATAATTTTCTTCAGTTTTTTGGCTTCAGGGATAGAGGATAAACAGTTATATTCGCTTTTAAAATCTAATTTTGTATCTGTTCTTTTTCTTATGCTTCATAAAATGCAATCAGCAGATAATTAATTCATAAAAAAACGTGTTGACTGGTAAAGATTCCAGCTGGTTTCACCGTAATTTGTGGGAAATTTCATTGGCAGGGTAATATGAATAATTGCTTTCTCTTTCACTGTTGTTAGTGTGATATGGCCATGGATGGCTAGCTTTGACATCATGAAAGTCTATTCATCTTCGCTCCAAATCTTGAAAATGATAGTGTGGGTGCCATTATTTGTGACCAATAATTCAATCTTTCCCACCATTTGTGACCATAATTCCACTTTTCTCAGGATTTATCTCTCTTTACGGGTGTTTTTTTTTTTTTTTTCTAATGAAATTAATTTTAATTAAAATAAAACTAGTATAGAAATATTTACACAAGAAGCTTATAATATTACTTTATTTGATGGGCTCATCGAGTTAAAATAATGTATGGAATTGTTTCATATAATTTTTTTTTTCCTTTAATTTTACATCCAAAGTCACGTGAGATTATAGATATGTGTGTGATTTTGCCCTAAGAGCTTGCAGATTTCGAAGATAGTTCGATCCAAAACAAGCTTGACCTAAAATCAATTCGATTCAAGTAAGCTTGACCCAAGTGAAGCTCGCCAGATCGATCAACCCAAGAACTGTTCAACAAAATAAAAAATAACTCCAACTTTGAATATTTCGAGGGATAAAATCAACACCACTGACAGTGCAATCTCAATGCACGATCACGAGATCACGGGATTACAAACCAACTTTGATTGCAATCTTGAACTATCTCTCTCTATTAATTACAATTTGATAAAAACCCCCAAAAATGATGAGAGGGGGTTAGTAAATTTATTCAGCATATCATATTGTCCTTATATCATGGTTTTAAAACCCAATCCGGCCCAGCCGGTTCAACCGGTTTGAACCGAGAACTAGTGATCGAGGCTTTAATTGCATGTCATTTTATTTAATTTTATCAAATGTCGGCAGTTTATAGACAACTTGCGCAAATTGTTCTTCTTATCTACATATTATTATATTGGTGACTCCATTTCACTTCTTATGCCTCGGAAGAAGGCTGCTTCTTGGATTAGATAGTCTATCTCCAAGCCTCTTCACCAGATATAAGGCAACTCCATCCACCATACTTCACAAACTGTTTCCTTAATTTTTTTTTTATTTTTTTATTTTTGAACCAAGATAAGAAGAATGAACTTTCTTAGAGTTTTTCTGTTTCAGTCACAGGTGAAATTAATGGATCCCCTTAAGTAATCAATCTAATTTTGTTTGTTTTTTAATGATAACTAGATTGCATATTGTTTTATTTATGTTATTTTTTAAACCTCAAAGGGATTTTGTTATTCTATGAAACTTAAGGCGGGTAAATTGATTAGATTTTTTTTAATCATTTTTATAGTGATATTGAGCTATGGAGAATACTGGGAGTTAAGATCATGAAGATGCTAGGATAAAATGTTTTGGCTCAACAAATCAAGTATGAGAAAATTAAAATAATACAGCCCTTTGATTTTAGTCGGTACCTACCTTAAAATATTTGTTGCTTTAATTAAAAATTATTGGCTATATTCTCCAAATTCAAAGTTATCAATTTGATTATTTTATTATTCTAGCTAAAGTTTAGTCAATGCCTACTGCATTATCCTATATATTTAATTCTATAATTATATTATAATTAATGTTTCCATTTGGAATTTTAATTGATATCCATTTCGTCAATAACTACTACATATGTAATTTATATAATATTGCTTGCAACTTGTGAGAACCTTCCATTTGGTGCTTTAATTAACCATCCCGAGGTTTGCTATAATTAATTAGGTTCATTTAGTTTGAAAAATAACACAAAAACCCTACCTTATTCACTTGGTATGGATTAGACTAAACCAGTAATTGATAGTTTGAAAATGCAAGGAGAGAAAGAAAACATTACTGAGGAAATAGAGAGAAGTTATTGTAGATATAAATTAATTTAAGTTTTATTCATACAATAGCTAGAGAATGAGCACGTGTTTACGGAATAATTAAATAAATAACTTGTGTTGAACTTCAAACTTCAGAATTTGGTATACTATGTAATTTATATAATTGTTGGATGCATGAATATGTAACATGAGTAAATGAACCATAAGCTTTAGGGAGAGTAATAAGTCAATATTCGTTAACTCATAATGGCAAGGGGATTTTTGTTATTTTTTAAACATCAGAAGGAATTTTTATTCACTGAAACTTTAAGGAGGGTAAATTGATTAGATTTTTCTTCATCATTTTGTAGTCAATAAATACCTACCGCATTATCATGAAGATGATAGGAAAAGATCATGAAGATGCTAAGAGAATATTAGGAATTAAGATCATGAAGATCCTAGAAAAAGATGTTTTGGATTAACAAATCACGTATGAGAAAATAAAAATAATACAGCCCCTTGATTTTAGTCGATACTTACCTTAAAATATTTGGTGCTTTAATTAAACATTGGCTAAATTTTCCAAATTCAAAGTTGTCCATTGGACTATTTTATTACCCTAGCTAAACTTTAGTCAATACCTTTTATCATTTTTGGAGCAGCAGTTTCATAGTCCCTTTTATCATTTTAGAGGGAGAAAAAAATGTTGACTCATATGATAATTATAGGTTATTACGCTCAACCTCTCATTTTGACGCCAAATTGTTTCTTTGTATCAGCTTAACTATCATATTTGAGTTATTGAACTATCAATACTTGTCTAATAATTTTTTTCTTTCCCATTCAGCTGGAAGAGGGATTAAACTCAAATTTTGTAAGCTTAGGTTCAAAAACCACCCAGAGTAATCTGATTCTCGTATTAATCCTTCCTATATAATTTTAAACTTATTTTTAAATTATTCACAATTTCTCAAATACTTAGTAGTTGATACTGCACTTCTGTTTCTTTGTAAGCTGATACCACTACCAAGAAGTATTATGGTACTTTGATGAGTAAAGAAAGAGGCTCACATATTTACAACTGAAACAATATAAAAAACCCAAATGATGACCAAAGGACAAATTAAATTTGAAAGAAAATACAGTACAAGCACCACAGTCACCTCAAAGGGAGAAGGACTGATTTCAATCTTTCTGGAAGTTTTAATTGGCTATGCTTTTCCATCTTCAAACCTCTAAGCACAGGCAGAGCTCCTTCCTCTATCTGCCACTCCTCTAAATCTTTCGTATGAAGTGTCAAAATCTCAAGCCGGGGAAAACCCTTTGCCGTGCACACCATCTTTTTTCCACTGTAACAAAAGCGGCCTAATTCAAGTTCTGTGAGGTTCAACATCTTCTCCAATATTGGCATCGGGTCATCTACGAGTTGGGAGATATTTAACAATAGGCTTTCTACATTTGGCAAAAATACATGCATTTCTCCTGGTAGTTTCTCCATCTTCCCATTTAATATCAAGTGTCGGAGATATCGACAATGAGAGAGTGGTTGCAATGTAGGAAAAAATTGAACATTTAATAAGGAGACCGTTAAAATTTGAATACTTTTCAGTTTGGCAATAGAATCGAAAGTGAACTTCCCTCTTTCATAGCACACAGATAGGTGTAGCTCTCGAAGATTAACCAATGTTTCAGGATTTGTTTTAGTCCAAGTGTTATCCCGTACATTCTTCAAAGTCTGAAGGTTTGTCATATTGTCTATCCGCAATGGCACAACAAGGCGTCCAATTAGATGTCTCAAACTTTTCAGCTTCCAAATTTCTGTTGGTAGAGAATTACAATCAGGAAGCAATCCCCAGTGACAGTGCAGAGTTTCTAGATTCGACAAGTTGAGAATCGATTTCGGAATTTTTAAAGCACCCTCGAATCTCAAATACTTCAAGTGAATCAACTTATCTATATCTTTGGGTAAGGAGCATCTTTGTGAAAGGCTGCGATGTTCAAACTCGAGCACTCTTAAGAACCTGAATCTTGTACACAGAGTCGGTATGAATTGCTCATACGTAGGAAGCTCTCCACAAAGATCAAAGATCAAAAGAGAACGCAAGAGCGGATTACAGTGTTGAAGGCACGAGGTTCCGTTCTTCCCAGAATAGATAGCTAGTCGTCGACATGATACCTTTGAAGAATGAGCTGAGTTTCTGATTTCGTCATAAATTTGAACAAGATTGAGTTCTTTTGCCTTTTGAATGGCTAAATCCCGCAAAAGATCATGGACTCTACATGTTCCAACCATCCCAAACCGAATTTCTCCTTTCTGAATAAGGCTCCTGTTAATCAACTCGTTCAAGTAATTGTGAGCCACATCTTCCATTATTTCTTCATCATGCGGTATGTAACCCTCAGCCACCCACAAGTGAATTAGTTTCTCTGTGTTGATTTCGAAGTCTTCTGGAAAATTACTTAAGTAGAGAAAACACAACTTCAATTGATAAGGTAAATCATTGAAGCTTAAAGCCAATAACTGTGTTATCTGAATGGAATCATTTCTTAAATGCCGCCAAATATTATCGCGTACCAAATTCCATGCTTGTGGCTTCTTTGTTGACAGTAAACTGCCTAACACAACAATGGCAAGTGGTAGACCGCCACATTTTTCTACCATTTCTCTTCCCAACTTCTCCAATCCTTCATCTATATTGAAATTGCAAAAAGCCTTCTCACAGAATAGCTGCCAACTCTCCTCTTGGTTTAAAAATCGAAGTTCATGTATATGAGTTCTTTGATCTGAACGTTCAGCAACATCTTTGATGCGAGTGGTAATAATTACTCTGCTTCCATTCTTGTTGTCTGGAAAAGCTCTTTTGAGGCTTGCCCATGCTTCTTTGTGCCATACATCATCAACTACCACCAAATATCTGCATCCTTGCAAAGACTTATGAAGATGCCTCTCCATATCATCTTGACTCATCCTCTCAAACTTCTCCGGTGTATTTCCGGAATTGAAAGACTTTATAATTCTTCCAAGAAGATCTTGAGTGTTGTAATCTTGAGATACAGAAACCCAAGCACTACAACTAAATTTTTGTATGATTGCACTGTTGTTGTAAAGTTTTCCAGCAAGAGTTGTCTTTCCCAAACCACCAGTGCCCCAAATAGAGATCACATATCGCCTTGGCTCATCGTCAAGTAGTTTACCCAACAATTCCCCGGTCTCATCCTTATAGCCAACAACATTCTCTTCAAATGAAAAGGAGTTGGTTTTTCTCAGTTGTTTCAATCTGCAAAAAGCAGGGCTCTCTCCTTCCCTCTTGACATTGATATTTTCAAGACCGTACTCCTGACGTCTTTGAGAGACGACACTGAGTTTCTTCTTCAAAGTTTCAATCTCCTTGCCTATGTTGTACACAGTCACCTTCTCCTTGCCCTTGCGAGAAGATTTAGCAACCGATTTCTTGAAGGTAGGTAAGAGTCCTCGCTTTCTTTTTGAAGACTGTCCTTCTCCACCTTTTACGATATCCGAAGCTATCTCTTCATCTCGGACTTTGATCATAAATTCATCTAAGACATCCTCACAATCAAAAGCAATATCTCGGATGTCAGATACCCACTGGCGTATCAAAGGGTTGTCAACTTGTTTCTCTTCAGCATCCTTTAAGAAACAATTCATCCATTCCAGATCTTTTTGCAGTGACTCCACTTCACTTCTTATCCCTCGGAAGAAGGCTGCTTCTTGGATTAGATAGTCTCCAAGCCTTTTAACCACATATGAGACTACTGCATCCACCATGGTTCCCAAGCTACTGTTGTTCTTTTTTTTTTTTTTTTTTTTTCTCAATAAAGATCTCTCCCTTTGGAAATGGTAGGTTTAAGAGAAGAGAAATAATTTTCTTTCAGTTTTTGTGCTTCAGGGGATAGAGGATAAACAGTTATATTCGCTTTTAAAATCTAATTTTGTATCTGTTCTTTTCTTATGCTTCATAAAATGCAATCAGCAGATAATTAATTCATAGAAAAACGTGTTGACTAGGTAAAGATTCCAGCTGGTTTCACCGTAAGTTGTGGGAAATTTCATTGGCAGGGTAATATGAATAATTGCTTTCTCTTTCACTGTTGTTAGTGTGTGATAGGCCACGGATGGCTAGCGTTAACATCACGAAAGTCTGTTATCTTCGCTCCAAATCTTGAAAAATGATAGTGTGGGTGCCATTATTTGTGACCAATAATTCAATCCTTCCCACCATTTGTGACCAATAATTCCAGTTTTCTCAAGTTTTTATTTTTTTTAATGAAAATTAATTTTAATTAAAAATAAAAACTAGTAATGAGAAATATTTACACAAGATATCCTTATAATATGACATTATTTGATGGGCTCATCGTGTTAAAAAATTAAGGTGATGGAACTGTTTCATCTAAATTTTTTTCCTTTAATTTTACATCCAAAGTGACATGCTGAGATTTTAGATATACATGTAGGTTTTTATACAAATGTGTTAACCATGATGTGTAGTTTCTTGACATGATAAGACCATTCAGAGAAAAAAATATCATGTATAACAACATATATCTTATGTTTTCCTTCTTATTGAATTGTCGGTTTTAAAAACTATCAACATGTAATATAGTTTTGTATAATGATCTAATCACATCGAAACAGTGAAGTAATGAGACTATTTTACGTAGGTTTTTGCATTTTTGTTAGGGCCAAAAATCATCTTGGGCTAGACGAGGCCTAATAACGAAATAAACATGTCACGACCCAAGGTCTCAACCCAATCCCAATCGGGCCTACGCTTAAAATCACATTGTGAACTACCCACTCTATGAGTTGGACTGTCTTATAAGTTAAGCTAAACTGGGTTTCAGCCCATTAGCCTGCAATAGTCTATAAATAGGAAATCAGAATCTCATTCTATTTCCTCTTCTACTAAGATTCCAAATCTTACTCAAACTATTAAACTTAATCTGATAAGGTTAAGAAATCATATTTCTTTCTTGATAAGGATTATCTCTCGAAAAAAGAGGACTCAATATCCTACTAGAATTCCAACCCCTTGGGTTCACTATAAAAACAAAGGTTTGCCCTCTCATTAAGCAGGCAATCTCCCACAGTCAATCTACACTATTCAAAACCATCTATTTGCTCCTAAAGTTCTTGCTCCTAAGAACCCGACGCCTCTACCGTAGTCCTAACTTCTGACAAGACTCCTGGTAATTCTTCATCTCCTTAATTCTTATCAAATAATTTCTTTTAGCCTTGCTGACTTGAGCGTTGGAGTGCCTACGGCAAACACCACCCCGGTGTTTTTCGGAAGCTTCACGCTTGCCCTTTCATGTGTGCAGGTCTAGCGGATTGTCAGTGACCTCAACCTCACGGGATCAGACCCTATTTTCATGACAGTAGATTTTTGCATCTATAGTTTGACGTCCACCATGGGGCCTTGACAATCATCTTACTACAAATGACTTGCTACACAACTGGAAGCAAGGAGCCTTTTTCGATCGACGTTGGAGACCAAGTCGCCACCTCACCAACAAGCACCTAACTCACGATTCTAAGTCTCAATCAATCCAATGCAAAATCTTATAAAACCCATGCATAGAGAATAGCCAAACTAATTGTTGTAGGAATTGCCAAAAGATCACTCGGACCAACCAGCCTGGAACCTTCTCACATAGCCAGATCACCAACTCCTACAGTCTCCCTAAGTATTCAACAAAGATCATTTGACTCCACCAAGCCTCTTCCAACTCTGCCTGGTCCCTGTTAATTAAGTCCCCAAAGTTAGAGTCAATGTTCCCATTTGACTCTGTCGAAATTTAGCAGCACGGAAAAACCACTCCATGGCTCCGGCGAAACGATATCCCACACGGTCAAGCAAACTTGAACTCTACAAAGAATCACACTGCATGATTTGACGGATACAAATTTAAAACTGGATGAGTAAATAGCTGTGACTCTACAAACACAGTTGTCTCTAAGCACCTACCCTAAGTCATCAATGGCATCCTCTCGATCTCTCAAGAAAGTTGTATCCTCAACTCTCTTTCCTAGGTCTCTCCATCACTCTGACTGCTACCTCAGTCTCCCGCTTCTACAACACCAATGTCGTTCATCAATACGAAGACTCCGACGGTCGTGAACTCGCCTCTCCGATTTCTTCTCAAGTACGTGTATAATCCGTGTTTCGATATTTTTGTTCTACGTTTTCTTATTATCTTCTTGAAACATTCTCAACTTTCTCTCTCTGTCTTCATCTCTCTTTTTTATTTTATTTTTTGGTTCTCATGATTTCTCATTACCTTCTCTGAAACCTAAAAAATTCCCACAAAACACTTTGCTCATAATCACACCAATCTCTCTCTCTGCAAATTCAATCTGAACACTTGTTTCTTCTTTAACAACACCAGACAACTTTCCTCTACTTCATTCTTTCTTTCTCTGATCACCAAAATCGGCCATGAATCTTCAAAAAAGCCTTGATTTCAATACTTTACGTCACTTTACCCAATATCACACTCCTACTACTACCCAAATCTCCTTGGATTCATTCGGCTCTGCTACACGGGCATAAAAGGATGAGCTGAGCAACGGTATTTTTTAACTCGGACTATTCTTGTGCAAACGGTTATCTCCTACTCCACTTAGAACACTGCCCAAGAACCCAAAAAAAATTAAAAAAAAAAAAATTGGAAGAAAACCGCCTCCAAATCTCTTTCCCCATCCGTAAATAATGTCAAAATTCCCCCAAAAAACTTGCCAAGAACAATTCTGAATCCTCCCCAGAAATCACCAAATTCCTCTCAAAAACCTCAGGAATTATTGGAAAACAAAACTTTGTAGGAAAAATAGAGGAAATTCGTAAAACCCATCCAGCCTCCTTAAAAAACAAATATCAAAACTCCCAAAGAGTCACTAAAAAAACTTCAACACCTTTTGGAACTAAAAAAGAATCAAAGAAAGAGCAAAAGAATACGAACTTTACCAAAGAAATCTCAGAGAAACGCGTCTGGGAAATTTGCGGCAACTTTCTTTCAAAGCAAAAGGAAACGAAGGAAAGAAAAAGGATTTCAAAACTTCAAAGGCTAAAACACCTTTTTATGCCATTTAATGCACCTTGTTCCCAAAATGCCACGTGTCAAAAATTTTAAAGAGGTAAGCTTTCTATTCTACCTCCTGCACAATAAGATTTTGATATTCCTTAGAAGTTTTATTTGGAATTCTTTGATTTTCTTTTCACTCGCTGAATTGAGTCAATGTCCCCTATCAAGTGGGCATTAATTAAGCAACACAAGAATATTCATCTCAATTGGCTTTGAAAGTCCCACTCGACCTACCAAGTGGATTTAGGCAAAGACCTATTCCTCTAAGACATTTTCATGCTATTATTTCCATTCAATCTCATGCTTTCAATGCAAATGAGCCCCATTCGGCCAAACTTGTCCCGTTCGATAATTCGCAACTTCATTCGGTTGCTTGCATGTCCATCCGACCAAACACCTTCGTTCGGCCTCATGCATCTCCATCCGGCCAAACACCTTCATTCGGCTTGTTGTTTCTCCATTCAACCTATTGTTCAACACATGCATCCCAGTCATAATATTTCTTTCTCTATTTAACTTATTATTTGTTTGGTTTATTATATACGCATGCCATGAATCACTTCTCCATTTAGCCATGAGTTTGTTTGGCTTATTACTTCTCCATTTAACATATTCTTGATTTGGTCTACTATTACACATGCATGCCATTACTTCTCTTATTCAATTTATGGTGGATAACTGTACCATGCGAGATACAAAATGAAGTTGTTTTGAATCATCTACTGTGATCACCTTCACTCGGCCCTACTTGATTTATCGATTTACGCCTTCGGATTGGCCCTACCCGATTCACGATTTACAACTTCGAATCTGCCTTGCCCAATTCATGAGTTACACCTTCGAATCGGCCCTGCCGGATTCCTGAGTTTACACCTTCGAATCGGCCCTGCCCGATTCACAACTCTACACCTTCGATCGGCCTGGCCTGATTCATGAGTTTACACCTTCGATCGGCCCAACCCGATTCATAAGTTTACACATTCGATTAAATCTACTCTCTAAGCTAAATTCTCTTTAAGTTAGAGAGTGGGGGGCTAGCTGTTAGGGCCAAAAATCGTCTTGGGCTTGACTAGGCCTATTAACGAAATAAACATGTCACGGCCCAAGGCCTCAACCCAATCCCGATCGGGCCTACGCTTAAAATCACATTGTGAACTACCCACTTTATGAGTTAGGCTGCTTATAAGTTAAGCTACACTGGGTTTCAGCCCATTAGCCTGCAACAGTCTATAAATAGGAAATCAGAATCTCATTCTATTTCCTCTTCTACGAAGATTCCAAACTTACTCAAACTATTAAACTTAATCTGATAAGGTCAAGAAATCATATTTCTTTCTTGATAGGGATTATCTCCCGAAAAAGAGGACTCAATGTCCTATTAGGATTCCAACCCCTTGGGTTCACTATAAAAACAGAGGTTTGCCCTCTCATTAAGCATGCAATCTCCCACAGTCAATCTACATTACTCAAAACCATCTATTTGCTCCTAAGTTCTTGCTCCCAAGAACCCGATGCCTCCGCCATAGTCCTAGCTTCCGAAAGACCCCTGGTAATTCTTCATCTCCTTAATTCTTATCAAATAATCTCTTTCAGCCTTGCTGACTTGAGCATTGGAGTGCCTACGGCAAACATTACTCCGGTGTTTTTCGAAAGCTTCATGCTTGCCCTTTCATGTGTGCAGGT